TCTCGGCTCACCGCAACCTCCGCCTCCTGGGTTCAGGCAATTCTCCTGCCTCAGCCTCCTGAGTAGCTGGGATTACAGGCACGCAGCACCATGCCCAGCTAATTTTTTGTATTTTTTAGTAGAGACAGGGTTTCACCATGATGACCAGGATGGTCTCGATCTCTTGACCTCGTGATCCACCCGCCTCGGCCTCCCAAAGTGCTGGGATTACAGGCTTGAGCCACCGCGCCCGGCCAGGAATAATTTTCATACAATAAAAACTAACTTTTTAATCAATCACTGTACTACAATCAAGATACAGATCTGTTCCATACCTCCCCTTCAAAATTTCTTCATTCTCCGTTGTAGTCAGTCACTCCCGACCCCTTATCTACAGCTTCTGGCAAACACTGATCTGTACTACCATATAGTCTTTCTTTTTCCAGAAAGTCATGTAAGTGGAGCCTGACTTCTTTTGCTTCCCATAATGCATTTGAGATTCATCAATATTATTGTATATATAAAGTTATTCCTTTTTATTACTGAGTAGTGTTCCATTGATAGCTATGCTACATTGTAATTATTGATTCACCAGGTGTATTAGTCTGTTTTCACACAGCTATAAAGACATATCTGAGACTAGGTAACTTATAAAGAAAAGAGGTTTAATTGACTTATAGTTCCGCATAGCTGGGGAGGCCTTCGGAAACTCACAGTTATGGTCGAAGGGGAAGCAAGCACTTCTTACATGGCAGCAGAAAAGAGATAGTGAGAGTGTGTGAATGAAGGAGGAACTGCTGAACATTTTTAAAACCATCAGCTCTGGTGAGAATTCACACACTATCACAAGAACAGCATGGGGGAAACTGGCCCGTGATCAATCACTTCCCTCCCTTGACATGTGGGGGTTATAGGTCCCTCCTTCAACTCGGGGCATTACAATTTGAGATGAGATTTGGGTGGGGACACAGAGCCAGACCATATCCTCAGGTGATGGACATGAATGTTTTTTCCATTTTAGGGTTTCTGTTTTTTCTATTATATGAATAAAGACATATATGTGTTTACAGGTTTTTGTGTGAACTTGCTTGAATGTATACCGAGGAGTGGGAGTTACTATGCTGCATGATTACGTGAATGTCAACTTTATAAAGTAGATCTGATTGTTTTTTGAAACAGTAGCCATCAAGATCAGATGTTATACCTATCCTTGGTAATAAATGGGGGATGAAACTTGATGAGTGGAGATGGGAATATAAGCCTCCAGATGCCCAATTTAACCTGTCATCCTGTTCTGTAAAATCAATATACTCTTGCCCTATTCTCACATCCTCACCTCTCAGAGGAAGTGGGATCTCTTTAGCAGTGTCATTAAAAGATTGCATGTGAGGCTGCCCATGATATTTTTCTGTTTATCAGGCAGAATGGTTGATCTGAGGAGACCAGTGGCAATGACATTCTAGATATGGTAACATCAGGACAACCCCCATCAATTACTTTTCCTATTACCTCCTTCTTTTCCGTCCCTCTAGAAAGAAAGGAGAGCATTGGGGTGACGGCAATAAATCTAAAGGGAACAATTATACTGATACTGGTTAAGTGGATCTTGTATCTTTACCTACTCATTCCTGAATGTAAGGGAAAAAAAGGAATTTGGGACTAAGGAGAAGAATTAATTCTTCCTACAGTGTCACATTATATTTGTTCTGTGTCTAAAACATGCGATATTCAGAGCTGACTTTTATTATTAACTGTTGACTGACTTACAAATGCTGTTAGGGCAGAGCAGAGCAGAACAGTGTCATGGATAATCTTCCAAAGCAGATAATCCAAAAGTCACTTCCATTTAGCTGTGAAAAACAGTTTATTTCTCTCCTTAAGTGTTCCATTGGCTAACATACTTAGTTTCCGCTAATCTGATTTGACTACTGCAAGGAAATACACACCAAGGACATATTATTTGGCATGGTGAAACCACCTTGGGGTCAGAGAACTGAATACTATACAAGTCAAGGTTTAATGTATTATACCTTCAAGGGCCTTGCTTCAGTGTCCTACGGTAAGGAACTGAAGGGCAGAGGGAGAAAGGTAAGTGGAACCAAAAATGATGTACTCACACAGGAAAGATTTTGGGACTAAGTTGCAGTAAAATTGTACCTTTTTTTTTTTTTCCTGTAAACTGTCTTTGGTCTATGAGCCAAAGAATGAGTTTATAAGAGGCAGAACAAAAAATGGGGAAGTAGTGAATTTGTTGGACTTAAGTGGGCTGTCAACTTCATAATATAAAAATGAACTTTTCAACAAATAGAGCTGCTCACTCAGAAAGGCTGGCCTATGTAACTTGGGGTTTCCCATCATTGGGCGTGTTTAAGCCTAAGGGACATATCTTGTTAGAAATGTATTACAGTAAACAGTATTCCTGTATCCTTCATTCCACAAATGCTTATGAAAAGTCCACTCTGTATATGAAAAGGAATCAAATCTGGATCTTCTCTCTGCCAGCTGTCAAATCAGTGCTTCTCACACACGTTAATGTGATCTTGTTAAAATGCACATTCTGAACCCTGGGGCCTCAGATTCTGTATTTCTAACAGGCTCCCAGATGATGCCAACGCTGCTAGTCTCTATAACACAGAGGAATAAACATTTCTAGTAGGGAATGAGACATACAAATAACTATAATACAAAGTAAGAATTTGTAAATTCCTTAGAGATTTCAGTAATTGTCATAAAAAACCTGGATACCTCCCAACCCTAGGGCTGTCTTTGCCCTTTTTATACCTTTAGTGTTCCTTCTGATGTTTTCGGTGTTGCTCTCTTCCTGAATTTTCTCTCTTCTGAGGTTTTTCACTGTGTATGCTGTTTCTTAGCCTAGGAGAGTCTTTTAGTTCTTCTCCTAAGACTAACATTTTACTAATTTGTCAAGGCTATCTCCTAAACACTCCATCTTGAATTCTTCCCTGCGACCCCAGTCGGGCTGACAGTTCCTTCCTTGTCGCTCCCCATAAAACTTTTCTGTTTTGAGACGGAGTCTTGCTCTGTAGCCAGGCTGGACTGGAGTGCAATGGCGCGATCTCGGCTCACTGCAACCACCGCCTCCCGGGTTCAAGCGATTCTCCTGCCTCAGCCTTCTGAGTAGCTGGGACTGCAGGCCCGCGCCACCACGCCCAGCTAATTTTTGTATTTTTAGTAGAGACGGGGTTTCACCATGTTGGCCAGGATGGTCTTGATCTCCTGACATCGTCATCTGCCTGCCTCGGCCTCCCAAAGTGTTTGATTACAGGCGTGAGCCACCGCGCCGGGAGCAACGACCACTGCTTCCTTCTGCGTGGAGCTGGAAGTCCGTTTTCTTCTTCCCTATGAGGGTCCCGCCTCTCAGGTCGCCAGGCACACAGATGCTGCCCAGAAAACGCGCTGGCGCACCTGAGGCCGGGTGGAAAGCCGCGCCGCTCCTCCAGGCACCTAGCACCGGAGTCCAGGGATGCGGCCTCTGAGTGTCATTTGGGGACGTCCCCTCCGCCGGGTGGTCTCAGGGGCCCAGCGGTCCAGCCATCCCGGGCGCAGCCTCGCCAGGCTTCACAGGCCCCGCCTGGCGCCCCCGCCTGGCGCCCCCTCCTGGCGCTAGAGGCTGCGCGCGACTGCCCACCATCGAGGCGGCGGCTAGAGAGGCCGGCGGGCCCCGGGCGCCGCGGCTGAGGGCCGCAGGGAACGCGCACGGGGCGGGCTCCGCGCCGCCGGCCTTGTAGCCATTTTAGGAGGAATCGCTGATCGGCAGCGTGGGGTGCGGCTTCAATTTCAATAACTTTATTGGTGGTGTGACCTGCAGAACAGCCATCACGTCAGTGGCCCCTGGAGGAGTGAGAGCTTCGCCCGAGGTGACTGGGTAGGGGCGCCCCTGGCAGTGAGTGCGGCGGGGACGCGGGGGGCGTCCCGATAGCAGGGCTCCCGAGCTAGGGGCAGCGAGGGCGCCGGGGCATTTGCAGGCGTCCCTGCAGGCCTGGAGAGAGGGCTCCGGGGCTCCGCGTCCCTGGGGCGGGGAATCCCTTGCCCGGTCCCACAGCGCAGGGGCGGGGCTGCGGAGCGCCCCTGACGCGGCGGCTGGGGTGTTCACCGCCAGGTGTTGTTCCCCGCCGTAGGTGGTCCCCGCCGAGCTGCAGCCATGGGAAACACCGCCAGCGACCGGGTGTCCGGGGACCGCCACGGCGCCAAGGCTGCACGCGCCGAGGGCGCCGGCGGCCATGCCCCGGGGAAGGAGCACAAGATCATGGTGGGAAGCACGGACGACCCCAGCGTGTTCAGCCTGCCCGACTCCAAGGTACGCGTCCCACGCCCCCAGCTGGTGGCCGTGCTGCAGCGGGTTGGTTTCCGGGCTCCTGTTCCCTTTCTCGGTTCTTTCCTACGGGGTACTGAACCGGGCTGTGGTTTTTTGAATTAAAGGGATTTTTCGGGGACAGAGGTGTTGGATGGTAATTCCTCTTGCAGTGCCGCCTCAAAATTATAAAGAGGAGGAGTTTTTGTTTTCCTGGTGTTCTGACTAATCTGTTGGCCACAGTTTTAGGATGGGGACAATAGACGGCCCCCCCTCCCCACCTTGGTTTTTCCTAACATGCACGAGTCCTCTCTTCTATAGCGTTGTTGAATCTGTAGTTTGTAAGCTCTGGTGCAAAACTTCAGAGGGTAGGTTGCAGGAGCTGCTGACCATAGGCGGTAGTTTCTCACCTTTGCCTTGAGGTGGCTAAATGAGTTTCTTTTTTTCTGAAAATTTCTGTATCAGTATCATTTTTGCCCTTCTAGCCGTTCTGCTCTCGTAATCTCTTCCCTTTTGGCACGGCTGTGAGCAGCGACTACTTGCTAATGGAATATTTTCCCCTAGTCTTGGAGAACAATTAAGGACATCATTTGGCTGACTGCTTAATTTTTGTCCCATACTTTATAGTTGTGGTGGTTGAGGTTGTGCCACTTTCACGTTCCGCTGCTGCTCCTCAGGTGGGAGAGCAGATGATTCCACGACTTGTTTACTCCCCAGTGGTACTTCAAAATGTTGCGTGGCTAAAAATCGACAACCCAAAGCTGCCCTGAAGACCTTGCTCTCAATTCCAAGGACTTTCAGGAAGAGGGCAACTTATTTTCACTCTGTAAGAAAGGACAGATGGAGCTGATAGCAGGGGTTACCATTCTGATGTTTCTAATCGCTTTTAGGGTTGTCAGCATGAGATATATGTAATTCCTCCAAGTAGGCTGACGGGATGAGATGGAAAAAGGGAGGGCTTGAGGAGATTGGGGTGTGTTTGATGTTTCTTATCATTTCATCACTTCCCAAGGAACTGGGGCTTTAGAGAGTGAGTACAGTATTATTTGCCATATTGGTAGCACATGGAATTTGGATTCTATCCTTGGATCTCAATTGATAACATAATCACAGCTGGGCGCAGTGGCACAGGCCTGTAATTCCTCACTTTGGGAGGCCGAGGCGGTCGGATCCTTTGAGGTCAGGAGTTCGAGACCAGCCTGACCAACATGGTGAAACCCTGTCTCTACTAAAAATACAAAAAAATTAGCTGGGCGTTGTGGGGCATGCCTGTAGTCCCAGCTACTCGGGAGGCTGAGGCAGGAGAGTCACTTGAGAAGGTGGCCGTGGTTGCAGTGAGTCTAGATGGAACCACTGCACTTGCTTTCCAGCCTGGGAGACAGAGTGAGACTCTGTCTCAAAAAACAAAGAAACAAAAATCACAGACAGAGAAATGAGAGTGATTAAAAGGAGCATTTCTTGGGGTTTATTATCCATTCTTTTCTTCCACTGAGAATTTATTCTGTATCATTGGGGCTTTCTACAAGTCATCTGACTTCATTTCTTCAGAGCTTTCTAAAGGTGATCTGCCTCATTGTATTTTTACCCTTTTCCTATGTTGATGACTCAGGATTTAAATACAGTGTATTTGTCAAACTGTGACTGCAGTAATTGGTGTCCTGATTAAAAGCCAGGTTGCTCTGTCTGATTTGGGGCCTATTCTGGATTATTTTTATCTCTCACCTCAGTCTTGCCTTTTGTGAATTAAGAAAATTATTCAGATAATTTTCAGATTGTCTGAAAATTAGTTCAGATAATTCCTAAGGTCTCATTTAAATCTAAAATTTTATAGTTTTCAATCTCCCCTCTTTACTTCTAACCTCAACATTTTACTTAAACATCAAACTGTAGTTCTAATTATTATGCCTGTTTTCCTGGTAGTTTTGCTGAGTAACTTGGAGTAAACAATCTTTCTGCTAGTCAGCTGCATTCATTCCTGCCACAGAAATGTCATGTCATAAGTGGAAGGGCTTTCCTCCAAAGCTAGGCATATTAATAGTTTCCAATTCTAAACTGAAAATCCTGCCGTAAAAGTAACTGATAGAAACAGGCAAGGGGGCCTGCTTTGCTTTGAATGCTTGCTTTTTTCAGTGGACTGGTTCGGTGGTTCTCAATCCCGTTTGCATATTAGAATCACCTGAGATGTCTTTAAATACTGTATGGAAAATTTGAAACATTTACAAAGTAGGAAGAAACAGTATAACGATGTCTATATACAAGCTACCCCGTTTGAACAATGATCAGATCTTGAAGGAACATGTAACATCTATACCCCAGTCTGCTATTCCCCCACTAAGTATTTTGAAGTTTCCAGACATTATATCAAATATTATTTTATCTGTAATGTTTTAGGATCTACCTCTAAAGATGAGGGGTTTTTCTTTATTTTAACATAATCACGGTATATCTAGGAAGCTTTTTTCCTTTATTTTAACATAATTACAGTATTATCTAGGAAGCTTTTTAAAAATAGATTCCCAGATCTTATATCTGAATCAGAATCTGAGGGTTATTCTTAGGCATATGTAAAATTCTTGCAATTCTAACACAGCCAGTCATACAAGAGTGCATTGTTCTGGGAATATGTAGTTTTCTCTTAAGTCAATTCTTTATATAATGTGAAAGTCCTTTCAATTCTCTTTCTCTGTTTACTTTGGATTATCCTGCTACTGATGTCTGTACTGTAGTTTGGGGGAATGTCAAGAGAATGTATGGAGGGGAAACTATGTCAACCATTTTGAAAAGAAGGCCCAAATGAATAAGCTAGTCCTTTTTTGGAAAAAAAAAAAAAAAAAAGCCCACATTATTCTGTTTAGTAATATTTAGGCTTAATACTATACAGTCTCATTTACCAAAGTCACTTAAACCAGTCTAGAGCAGGGGTCAGCAAACTTTCTGTAAAGGGCCAGATAGTAAATACTTGAGACTTTGTAGACCATACAGTCTCCGTTACAGCTATGCAATTCTGCCACTGTAGCGTGTAAGCAGCTATAGGTAATTTAGGTAAACAAGGCAGGTATGGTGGCTCGCACCTCTACTCTCAGTTTCTCTGGAAGCTGAGGTGGGAAGATGGCTTGAGCCCAGGAGTTCAAGGCTGCAGTGAGCTATGATCACACCAGTCACTGCATTCTAGCCTGGGTGACAGAGCCACGCTGTTTCTCAATAAATAAATAATAGGTAGTCAAATAAGTGGAGCTGTTTTCAAATAAAACTTGATAAAAACATCTGGCTCACTGGCTGTCTCCCTACTCTTGGTCCAGAGGATGATAATGAAAGAAAACAGGAGGTTTTTTTTTTTTTTTTTTTTTTTACAATCCCACATACCTCATTTGATAAGATTACTACTTTTGATAAAGGAAACTGTATTTTCGATCTCTTGCTCCTTTAGGTTCTAGAATTTTTATTCCTTCTCCTGAAATAATTAGTATAAACCTAGCATAGGGGAGCAAGTAAGATTTCATAGCTACTTCTCAAGTTTTAAGAAATCAGTGATCTGGTTTTTGAATTTTTACTGTTTCTTCTTTTTGTAACTTATTAGCAGAAATAGTGTTTATGAATTATGAATTTTGATATCTCTAACTTCCATTACAGCTGGTAATTGAGAGCTATTCATATTTGCCTATAAAATATATGAATGACAATTATTTTTTAATAGAACCATACTTTGTTTTTATATATTTTTTTCCTCTTAAAGACTCAGAAGTGTATAATAATTGCCTGCTTATGAGTTAAACTAGTGGTAGGGAATTAGCTTTT